GTGCAGTGACTAGTTATCCTGGTCAGTCTGGGAGGTGGTTTTCATGTTTTGTGTGGTGGGGGCGGTGGTGTTGCTCTGTGACTTGGTGGCGGGGGAGGGCAGTTACAGATCTTATGCAGCGGTCCTTACCCTGCATCACAGAGCCGCGCAGCAGGGGATCTGTAACCCTCCTCCCCCTGCAAGACAGTCACATAGCCGACACATACACGCAGTCCCGGCCAGGAGGGCTGGCAGGCTCCGTTGAAACAACCAGTCCACCACCGCGGAGCCTGTCATTCCTGGAGTTTAGAGGCATCATTTGCATCACAACCCTAAACCCGCCCCCCGCCACAGTCTGTGTCACAGGTTTAAAACATTCCCGCGAAAACAGTAATAAAGACAACGGTGTCCATTAACAAAACAGAACAGATTTTATTTTTTGGGAAGGGGGTGAAGGGGGTATGTAAGTGGAGAGGATAGTCGACGGCAACTGGGTAAAGAAAGGGGGGCAAGTTCTGCCTCTGTGTCCACAAACTTAAAAGTCACTGGGTACCCTGCTCAGCCTTGAAACTGGCTTTCAAAGCCTCCCGGATGCACAGCGCGTCCCGCTGGGCTCTTCTAATCGCCCGGCTGTCTGGCTGGGCGTAATCAGCAGCCAGGCTATTTGCCTCAACCTCCCACCCCGCCATAAAGGTCTCCCCCTTGCTCTCACAGAGATTGTGGAGCACACAGCAAGCTGCAATAACGATGGGGATATTGGTTTCGCTGAGATCACAGCGAGTGAGTAAGCTTCTCCATCTCCCCTTGAGACGGCCAAAAGCACACTCCACCACCATTCTGCACTTGCTCAGCCGGTAGTTGAAGAGTTCTTTTTCTGTGTCCAGGGCGCCAGTATAGGGCTTCATGAGCCAGGGCATTAGCGGGTAGGCTGGGTCCCCGAGGATCACTGTAGGCATCTCCACATCCCCAACAGTTATCTTGTGGTCCGGGAAGTAAATACCTTCCTGCAGCCGTCTAAACAGACCAGAGTTCCTGAACACGCGAGCGTCATGAACCTTGCCCGGCCATCCGACGTAGATGTTTGTAAACCGTCCCCGATGGTCCACCAGTGCTTGCAGCACCATTGAAAAGTAGCCCTTTCTATTGATGTACTGGCTGGCCTGGTGGCCCGGTCCCAGGACAGGGATGTGAGTCCCATCTATAGCCCCACCGCAGTTTGGGAATCCCATCGCAGCGAAGCCATCTATGATGGCCTGCGCGTTTCCCAGGGTCACTACCTTTGACAGCAGTACCTTGACGATTGCCTTGGCTACTTGCATGACAACAACCCCCACGGTAGATTTGCCCACGCCAAAGTGGTTCGCGACTGACCGGTAGCTGTCCGGCGTTGCAAGCTTCCAGAGGGCTATGGCCACTCGCTTCTGGACAGTCAGGGCTGCTCGCATGCGGGTGTCCTTGCGCTTCAGGGCAGGGGACAGCAAGTCAAAGTTCCAGGAAAGTGCCCTTCCGCATGCGAAAGTTTCGCAGCCACTGGGATTCATCCCAGACCTGAAGCACTATGCGGTCCCACCAGTCCGTGCTTGTTTCCCGGGCCCAGAATCGCCGTTCAACAAAATCCACATGCCCCATTGCCACCGTGATGTCCTGGGCGCTGGGGCTCGTGGTTTCTGACAACTCTGTGCTACTCTCCGACTTCAGGCCCTCACGGCGGTGCTGTAGCCTCCTCGCCTGATTACTCTGCATCTGCCTCAGGGTAAGGTGTATGATAAGGTGCGAGGCGTTGAGAACGGCCACAACTGCAGCGATGGTCGCAGCGGGATCCATGATCGCAGTGCTGTGGCGTCCGCGCTGTCACTGATCAAAAAGTGCGCGAACTGATTTCCCGCCGGTGCTTTCAGGGAGGGAGGCAGGGCGGTAGTGACTGACGGATGACGACAGTTACCCAAAAGCACCCTCGCCACATTTTTTTACCCAGAAGGCATTGGGGGCTCGACCCAGAATTCCAATGGGCAGCGGGGACTGCGGGAACTGTGGGATAGCTGCCCACAGTGCACTGCTTCCAATGTCGACGCTTTCCCTGGTACTGTGGACTGACAAAGTCGAATTACTGTCCTTAGTGTAGACACACACGTTCGACTTTCTAATATCGATTGCACATATTCGATTTAACTAAAATCGAACTACTCTCGTAGTGTAGACATACCCTAAGATGAGATTAATGGCAAGCCAGGAAGCTCATGCCCCTGTTTCAGCTTTTCTGCAGACACAGCCATCAGTACTACATCAGTTTACACTTGAAACACAAGTTGAAGCTTACCTTTGTAACTGTGAGAACTAGCATCTTATATTTTCTAAGTAAAAGCTTAAATTCTGAAGATGCTGAAGGTGTCATGTGGGTCATATTAAATATATTGGGTAGGAGAGATCTGGTCTATGGGCTGCAAGTTTGACATCACTAGTCTAGAGATTCCGGTTAGAATAAGGGCCCTTAAGTCCTCTGCGACTGCAAAGCTAAGGCCTCTGACAGGCACTGAGATCTTCTCTGTGCTATTGGCAGTTAGATTTTTTTTTTTTTAAAGCCCGGATAGTAACAGGTAAAAATGTATTTCTAAAATCCATCACTTTACAGTGCATTGGGGGGAATTCAAGCTTAGACATTTTCTGATACATAAGGCATACTGACTAAGTGATCATTGCTCTGTGGCTGGCTTTCAACTATCCACTCACCATGGGTCAAATTTCCATTATGCACATGACCAGCAAGTTCACATCTGACGACACATGTGCAATCTGGGATTTGCTTGCACTTGTGTAGCAGGGTACGCACAGTAATCATATAGATGTAGACACTCTTGGGGCTGATAATTCAACCTTAGATCACCAGTAAAGTATACTATTTTATATATATCATATAGGGCTGCCAATTAATTGCAGTTAACTCATGCGATTAACTCAACAAAATTAATCACGATTAAAAAAGTTAATCTCACTGTTAAACAACAGAATGCCAATTTAAATTTATTAACTATTTTGGATATTTTTCTACATTTTCAAATATATTGATTTCAATTACAACACAGAATACAAAGTGTACAGTACTCACTTTATATTTTGATTACAAATATTTGCACTGTAAAAATAAAAGAAATAGTATTTTTCAATTCACCTCATACAAGTACCTACTCCTGGAGGCATTCTGTGCCAAAAAAATTATGCACACAATATTTTAAAATTCTGCTAATTTTATTTGTCAAAATAACACCATTTCAATTATTTTGGTAACTTATTTCAAAATACCTGTCAGCAAGTATGTCTGTAACAATACAGACACACACAAAAATTCCCACGGGAATAGAGTTATGACAGCCCAGTTCCTGTTTCTTCCCCTCCTCCTCCCTATCCCCCCCGGCCAGGGGGCCAGACAGTCACAACCCCTCCCCCATAAGCCCAGGGATACAGAGGGAGAAACAGCCTGATGCTCAGTACTAAGCTTTCATGGAGTTTCCTGCTCGCCACCTTCTCCTTCCCTCAGGGCACGCTGGGAACGGCAGCTGCCAGGAACCCTAGCTCCCTTTTCTTCCCCCCAGCAGTCTCTTCTGTGTGTGAGTGGGGCTCTGCTGGATCCAGTGGCCCCTAGTGGCAACTAGCAACACTGCAGCCCATTTCTGTGGGGGAAAGGAAATTCTGCGTGGACATTAATTTCTTCAAAATTCTGCATTGTGCAGTGGTGCAGAATTCCCCCAGGAGTATACACCTGTCAGGGATGATCTAGATAATATTTAGTCCTGCCATGAGTGCAGGGGACTGAACTAGATGATGTCTCGAGATCCCTTCAGTCCTATGATTCTATACATTCTGCTCTGCCGGTGGGGACAGAGCCTGCCCCACTCCTACCTCCTCAGAAACACCCTGAAGCCCTGCCCCTCCATGCCAAGCGTGCCGCAATAGCGAGCAAGAGGGACTGAGTGTCACACTGTCTCACACGCACGACTGTCCATCCTCCCCCCAGCGGTGATTTACATTTCTACCAGCTACTCCGGGTGCCCAAGCCGACCTGCCTGGCTGCCAGGGAGTGGCACGTGACCACTCTTGCGGCTTCCCTTTGCTTCCCCATCAGAAGTCATTTTTCTGCAGGGAAGCAAAGAAATCTGCAGGGGACATGAATTCTGTGCATGCACAGTGACACAGAATTCCCCCACGAGTAAAGTACCATAGTGCAATCTCTTTATCGTGAAAGCGCAACTTACAAATGTAGGTTTGTTTGGTTTTTTTGGTTACATAACTGCACTCAAAAACAAAACTGTAAAACTTTAGAGCCCACAAATCCACTTAGTCCTACTTCTTGTTCAGCCAATCGCTAAGAGAAACAAGTTTATTTACATTTACAGGAGATAATGCTGTCTGCTTCTTATTTACAATGTCACCTGAAAGTGAGAACAGATATTCGCATGGCACTTTTGTAGTTGGCATTGTAACATATTTACATGCCAGATCTGCTAAACATTCACATGCCCCTTCATGCTTTGGCCCCCATTCCAGAGGATATGCTTCCATGCTGATGACACTCGTTAAAAAAAGTAATGCATTAATTAAATTTGTAACTGAGCTCCTTGGGGGAGAATTGTATGTCCCCTGCTCTGTGTTTTACTCGCATTCTGCCATATATTTCATGTTATAGCTGTCTTGTATGATGACTCAGCATGTTGTTCATTTTAAGAACATTTTCACTGCAGATTTGACAAAATGAAAAGAAGGTACCAATGTGAGATTTCTAAAGATAGCTACAGCACTTGACCCAAGATTTAAGAATCTGAAATGCCTTCCAAAATCTGATTGGGACAGAGTGTGGAGTATGCTTTCAGAAGTCAGTTGTGTTGGTTAGAAAAGTCCAAGTCTGTTATGCATAAAGAACATTTACTAACCAATGAGTCTCTCTTGCAAAGGTCAGACTACAGAAAATACATAGGTGGAACCTTGTTTACATGTAGTCTGAGAGAAACTTTTCCTTTTATTTTCCCTAGTTCATCATTCTTGTTGTTGACAGCATTGACAGAGAACGACTTTCTATCACAAAAGAAGAACTTTACAGAATGTTGGCTCATGAGGTATATTTAAAAACTCAGCATTCCAATACTTTTGGATTGTAGGCTTCCTTTTTTGTTAGCACCCAAATAATTATAAACATGAAGACTTAACCTTTTACAAAACAAAGTTGTTTCATTAGCATAGGTATTGATGTACATTAACTGTGCTTTTTAAAAATTTTAGATTGTCGGTGTCTAGACAAGAACAGTCAGGATATCATGAAAAATACATGCTCCATGTTCTAACACTCTTAGGAGGGTTCATTCTATTGTAACAAGGTAGCAGTTTCTTTTATAAAAGTTATACAGATTGTAAAAAGTTTTTATATGTTTAAACTTCATGCTGTCTGACTTGTACTGTTTTTCCTTCCTCTATCTTACAACTACAGCTAAAAATGAAATTTTGAAGAAGCTTGAAAGCTTCTAAAACAAGTTTTGAGATTAGTTTTCACTATTGCATCCTATTAATGTAAAGAATCATAAATAGTGTTATAAATGGTTAATCTTTGGATTATGCTTGCTTCCTTTCTGATCTAAAATGAAGTTTTGGCTATTAGCAGTTCTCAGTGTTATCTGAGTGATTCATAATCTATTTCTAAAAATGAAAGAAAATTGTCTCTAAATGGCTCAGTTCAATAAAAATAGTTTTTGCTCTGGGGTTGGGGGTGAAAAATAAATTCTGAAATAGATGGGAAGAAGCCTTTTGTTCAAAATCTTCCCATGATTTCAAAATGGATCCCAATATTGCAAACACCTATTCAAATACTGCCTCAGCATTGGGGGGGGAGGAGGGGACTACATGACCTGTCAGGGTGCCTTTCAGCTCTACATTTCCATGATTCTAAGAAGTCTTAATTCATGTGAGTTGTCCTGATGACTGACTTCAGTCAGACTAGTCTATAAATTAGGACTACTTGTGAGAGTATGGATTTGCAGCACTGGACCTTAACTTTGCTTTTGTTTCTTTAAAGCATCCAGATATAGAAATGGATCTCCACTAATCCTAGCAGATTAATCGGTATTGAACTCTTAAAATTTGACCTAATGGTTTCTTGATTATGAAATGTCTTTCTCTCTCCTGCCCTGCTCCAAAAAAATCTGCTGCTCCTATTTTTGTTGCCTTAGGCCAGGTCTACACTACCGCGGTAGTTCGACGGCTGGCAATCGAACTTCCGGGTTCGATTTATCGCGTCTGGTCTGGACGCGATAAGTCGAACCAGGAAGTGCTCGCCGTCGACTGCGGTGCTCCACCTCAGCGAGAGGAGTACCACGGAGTCGACGGGGGAGCCTGCCTGCCGCGTGTGGACCGCGTCTGAACCGCGGTAAATTTGAACTAAGGTATGTCGACTTCAGCTACGTTATTCACGTAGCTGAAGTTGCATACCTTAGATCAAATTGGGGTGTTAGTGTAGACCAGGCCTTAGTTACATGGAAAGTTTAGACAACATTTTAAATGTCTTACATCTAACTTAAACTATTCAAACATTACTAGTAAGAACTGCCTTTTAGGCAAAAGTAACAAAGCTCTTAAGGTATGAGGTGGATTTGTTAAATTATGAAGTATAGTTTCTTCCTTTCCTGTCCTAATAAAATTTCTAAACATTTAAATTTATTATTAAAAAAAAAAAAGTGCCTAGAGTTGGAAGTAATTTCAACGGAAGTTAACTCTTCGACTCTGTAATTATCTCACTTAAAGATTTCCAGAATGTTCCTCCAATAGTAATCTAATTTGCTGAACATACTGAGCTGCTTTAGAAAATATATCATTTGTGTCTTTAGATTAGTCATCAGTGAAGTGTGGCAAGACCAAAGGACCAAGAAGTGAAGCAAACCCTAATTTGATGCCTGAAGAATGTTAGTTAGAACAGCTTTCTAAATGAATCATTAAGTTTGTCTTCCACTATAATTTATTGTTGCAATAAGCCTCTCAAAATTAAATGTTACTGCATAATTTTAATATAGAATGACTTTACTGTAACTGTGGGAAAATATATTTAACATTATATAACCTTTAGATTTTTTATCATAACATTGGCATCATAAGTACTATAAATATTCTGTCTTGCTTCCAGGATTTACGGAAGGCTGCAGTTCTCATCTTTGCAAATAAGCAGGACATGAAAGGTTGTATGACAGCTGCTGAAATATCTAAATACCTCACCCTTAGTTCCATAAAGGATCACCCATGGCACATTCAGTCCTGCTGTGCTTTGACTGGAGAAGGGTAGGTGTCCAGTAATGTGTGTCTAAGTTCAATAATGTAAAATAAATGGAAAACTGTGTGTGATTTAAAAGCCCATTGGCACTGGTCTAGGTCTTCTGAAATAGGATTTTTCCTATTCTCACCTTTGCAGATATAATAACACCTTAAGTATATCTTCCCCTTGACTGACTTCTGGATCTTCCTTACAGCTGAGTCCACCAGCTTTAACTGATAGGATGTTTCAGTCGTTCGGAAGAATGATGCTCTACACTCCTGAGGGCTAGCCCATTCACTCTCACTATGTCAACTGGCTAGCCTACTTGCTCTTTGTTTAGTGTCTGTAATACCCGGGTGACTGCTTCAACTCTATACACTAGGGCAGCAACTCTGACTTGACCAGAGGGTAAATAATATAAATAGGGTGTGGCTTTCAGCCTCACTGTGGTGATCATTTATGAACCCCATTTTCGCTTGTGTAGGAGCCAACAAATATTTTAGTGCTCCTGGAAATTCCTACCAGTAGACTTCCATCCCTTCATCCTGGAATGTCTTTTTAATGTGCAGTCCTATCAGACCTTATTTTGACTTTTCAGATGTATACTCAAAAAGACATGTTTGTCAACATTCACTATGACATGAAGACCTACTTTGTTACTGGTGTAAAACCCATTACCTATATGCAGTTGATGTAATTGACTTATTAACTTCTATCTCAGTTATGCCAGCATAGTTACTAAAATTTAAAACAGAGCTTTCCTCAGACCCCTGGAATTCACAGATCAGACATTCTTGGTGTCTGACAGGAGCTAGCCATTGGTTTTTCTTTCAGATTCAGTTACCCAGTTTTCTTAGGTGCCCTAAACATATGCCTTGATTTTCAAACAGCCTCATCATTTGTAGAATTCATTTTGTTTCAGCAGTAAAATAGTAGAAGAATAGTCTATGATAATGCTGCCTCAGGGCTTCAAAAGTAGTGGATATAACAGATCATTCAGAAGTTTAAAAAAAAAAAAATCTTCCCCACAATGATGAAATGTGAAGTTTACTTTTCAGATAGAGCTGGGACTGTCCTGTGAAGTGAGTGTCTGCCTGTACCTCCATCACTTTCCCTGACCTCTCATAATGGGAGGTACTTGACCCACTTTTGGTCTATTAATTTTGGATATTTATTTCCAAAAATTAAGCCATTGACTTGTCCAACTAGCTACTATTATTTTTGCTAAAGGCAACTTGGATAGGTAAGTCATGAGGATCTGGCTTTGTGTAAACAGATCTACATTTTCAGGTCAAATTATTTCCTTTCATATTTAAATTGGTGATGTACTTACTGTAACTTTGTTCTTAATATGTATATTCTATGTAATTCCACATTCTCATTTCAAAATTTATTGTAGGGAAGCATTAATTAAGCCAGTGCCTTTTTCTTTAGTGTACGCAAAATAGAATTTTATTTCTTCATTTAATTTGAATCATTTGAATATTACTTAAAAAGGCTTTCTTTAATGAAAAAATGGGATCACTCTCTCCTTGGCTCTATTGCGTTACCAAAATTCAGTGTGTTAATGGATAATATAGGGTCTGACCGTATACTACAACCAAAAGAGAAATGTCACTGGCAGTTGTTTTAATCCATCAATATACAACTTTGGTGCTTCTTGGCAGTCAATTTTGAGTTTCAGCCAGACATGATTTTGTGTTAGCCTCACCCTGGCATTGAATGAAGATCTAATGTAAGCAGCATTTGAAATGTGATACTTGTGTTAGCCCTAAGGCAACAGTTATCAAACTGTTGGTCGGGACCCCAAAGTAGATCGGGACCCCGTTTTAATGGGGTCGCCAGGGTTGGCGTTAGACTTGCTGAGACCTGGGGCCAAAGCCCGAGCCCCGCTGCCCCAGGTGAAAGCCGAAGCCCAAGGGCATCAGCCCTGGATGGTGGGGCTCATGTTACAGGCCCCTGGCTGGGGCTAAAGCCCTTGGGCTTTAGCTTTGCCCACCCCTCCCACACACACACACGGGGCAGCAGGACTCGGGGGCTCAGGCTTCAATCCCTCCTCTTGGGGTCATGTAGTAATTTTTGTTGTCAGAAGGGGGTCGCAATGCAATGAAATTTGAGAACCCCTGCCCTGAGGCATTGTGGTAAGTATTCTGTACTGCCATGTGGGAAACCCATAAAGATTTTTTTTATCTTTCCTTTCACTCCTTGGATGATATGTATTGAGTAGCAGCATGTTTTGGCTCTAGAAGGGAAATGGAAGATGAACTTTCTTTCATGTGATTGGAGCTTTTGGCTGCTTTAAAAGAAATCCTGCCTAGGCCACGTGCACCTGTAATTGATGGCGAAAGATAGTGCTTTTTGGTTGGATGACTTGTATGAGAGCAAATGGTTAAAAACTTCATTGCGACTTCTCTTATTAATTTTCAGATTATGCCAAGGTCTGGAATGGATGACCTCCCATATTGGAGTGAGATAACTTGTTGCAAAAGAGACTGCATCTGTTTATTCTGTGAACATGAACATTTTCCTGGTACTTCTGGTTGCTAAGGTAGCGACCATGTTTAATTTATAATGACAGAAACCTCTGAGCAGCACTTGAATCAAGTGCAGCTGAACTGAAACACAAAGTATTTTTAACTTTTTTAATGCACTACTCTTCCACAGGATGAACATATGAATCTGTTTCAGTATCAAAGTTCTCCTGGCTATTCTAATTTTTCAGTGGTTGCCTTGTAAGATATCTTTCATCATGGAAAATCTTTCACACTTGATTTTTGTAATGATGCAAACTATTTCTGTAATTTACTACCATAGATAAATTTCTTCATTAACACTGGGAAAAAAAGTGAATAGATTGATGTTTACCCTAGCATAGCTTTAATGATTTCAAAAGATTGGGCTATGGCTATCTCCAAGGCAGGTTTTAGGTATGTTAAGAATTGTAATAGTCAGCATTGAAACAGTTATTTATGGTTGATATGCTCTTCCCCCCCTCCACCCTCCCAATATGTGTAACTGAATTTCTGCCTTAAAAGAAAACATGCCCTTTTTTATTCCCATGTAAGGTAAGTAGTTCTGGGTCATATTTTTACCTGAAAACACAACTTTGCCAGGTGGATAAAAATCAGAGTTTTTATTTAATTAAAATGCATTTTTCTTTTTAAAAATGAACCAGTTTAAAAATTTGAAATTGACAACATATTAAGTGCTAAATTTAGTGTAATCTTTTAAAAA